AAAATGGAAACTTCACATGTACAAGAAATATTAGAAAATTCTCAAACTTAATGTTATCAATGGAAAAAAAAAGTATACATGAATGAAGGCAAAGGAGAAAACAAAGAAGGCAAAAGACAAGACGAAGAGTAAGGTTCCCACACAAAGGACACTGGCTATTAGGGAAACAACAGTAGCTCCCTTGTGGCCAGGGTGTGGAGGGAGAGAAGTGAACTACTGTGGCTGAAAAGGTAACAAGTAGGTGTGAACAGCAGGGCCCTGAGGGCCATGTTCGGAAGTAGGTGGTATGCAGAGAGCAGTGGGCAGGTCTCAACCAAGGGAGTAGGGTGATCAGATATGTATTTTTAAGACTATTTTTATATGCAGTAAGCATAATGGATTTGAAGAGGCAAGAGTGGAAGCAAGGAAAAAGAGTTACAGGCTGACAGAACAGATTCAGCGACAGAGGAGGACGGCCTGAACCAAGGAGGTGCAGGGAAATGGACAGGTAAGAGAGGCATTTAGAAAGTGAAATGGCCAGGACCTGGTAACTAAGTGGGCAGGAGGGCAAGAGGTGAGTCAAAGACAGCGACCAGCATTCTGGCCTGTGCTGACAGATGGATGGAGACAGGAACGGAAGGGTGAAAGCTGGTTCTGTGGGAAAGACAGTGGGACATCTGAGTGAAGACATCTGGCAGATGGAGATATGTGGTCATAAGCTTCCATACGGCTAAAGAGGAACAGAGTAAGAAGCGCACCCAGGCATCACCAACATGTGAGGTGCTGGTGGAAGAAGAAGAATGGAAAAAGAAGATTAGTAAGAGGTAGTCACAGAAGCAGGAAGAAAACCAGGAGAAGATGGCATCATGGACACCAAACGATGAGAGCATATCAAGACAGTGGTTAATGTCAAAAGCTGCCAAGGGGTCAATGGAGCAAGAACTTAACCCAAAGCAGTTTCTGGCAACCACGGCAAAAACAGACGCAGTGGAGTACAGTGGGAGCAAAAGGGGCAATTCTAAATCCTACACCAGCAAATTACAAATGACTACAGTCTAGCTGCTTAGGAAACTTTGTGAAAAGTAAACCACAAAATGACCTATAAACACATAATAGATGAATCAGGAAAGAAGACTTAGTATTTCTTTACAAATCACTGTCAACCCTCCACAGATATAGAATAAGCTCAGTCTGAAATTTCAAGGGGAAAAACATCTCACCCTGAACAAAAAAAAAAAAAAACAAAAACAAAAACAAACCGAACTCATAAAGTATTAAGCAAAAAAAACTATTCATTCCAATATTTGGGTGCTGAATTTGGCATAAGCATCTCTAAAATGCCAAGCTCATGAGCTGCAACAGCACTGGCCCAGAGTCCCTAAAAACCTCCCCCAGTACCCAAAGGCCGCCTCCCATCCTATCATGAGGAAGGATTCGAATACAAGGCGACAGAGGAAGCTAGAAGAAAGCAAGGTTGCCATCAGCACATTAACGTGGCAATGTGAGGGGAATGAGTTATCCCAGTCTCAGCTGGCACCAGGCCCAATCCATATTAATCCCCTACCACCAAAACCCTTCTCTTCAGATCCCCTCATCAACAAGACTAATTCAGGTTGGCAATTTTCTTTCTGGGACGTAGAGTCTAGCCAAACTAAGTTGACAGCCATGAGGAAGAAACCTAGGAACAAAAGCAACAAAAACACATCAGCCATGAAAACCACAAACTGTGCTGTCTGGAGGAAGGCCCCTTGTTCTCATCTTAAACAGAAGGCAATGCTTCAAACAGGAGGGGGTGGGGCAGGGGCGGGGCTTCCACTGATGCCAAACAAACATTAAGAGAGTCAGACTGTCGCAGATTATTACAATGGACTGTTAAATCCATTCCAAGTCATTCGTGTTATAGAAAAGAGAAGGAACTTACCCAAAGTCACACAGAGTTTGGCCAGTCCTGCACGAGAACCCATCTGGTTTCTTCCAGACGATACCTTAAGTCCTTCTAATGGCCAACTACTGGCAAATACTGATGTTCAGCCCTGGCTCTCCCCAAAGCTCCAGAGCCATTATCTCCTACCATCTCTTTGACACCTCCTCTTGACTCTCTCAAAAGCTCAAATCCCAGCATCTAACACTGAGCTCATGATCTTTCCCCAGAACTCTCAAGGCCAGTTTTTCATCCAGGGCTTCTTAGCTTACCAGATGATATTACTATCCATCTGGTTCCTGAGCCAGACTAAGAAATCACGTCCTGTGTTTGAACTCCAACCCTATCACTTCCTAACTGTGACTTTGGGCAGATTACGTAAGGTCTTTAAATCTCAGGTTTTAGCATCGGAAACATGGGATGACATAGCAGACACCCAGGACTCCAGGATGGCGTCATCCATACCAGTGAAGGAGAAGCAGCTCATGGATATCAACTTAGGAGAGCTGCCAAGCTGGATACTGATGCAGGATTTCACCCCCTGAAGGCACTGCTGGAGCGTTTCAAGAGATTACTACCAGTGTTACAAGTATGTCAATGTGAAGAAAGGGGCCATCGCTGGGATTCCTATGGTGCTGGCAGCTTATGTGCTTTTCAACTACTGTCACTGTTACAAGGAACTCCAACATGAGCAGCTAGGCAAGTACCACTGAAGAGGGCCCAGTGTCGAGGCACATTCTGCATTCCTGACCATGGCCTTTGCCTGGTACCCTTGACTCCTTTCATACTCTAATTGAGAATTAAAGAGGACTGGTACATGGGAAAAAAGGGGATAACAGGAATCACTTCATAAGGCAGCTGTGAGCACTGAAGGGGATGTGGATAAAATGCTAAGCACTAGCAAAGAATGTTGTACACGCAGTTCCCTCTATATTCTTGCCTACTCCCCCATTCTCATCCCCTGACCTGGTTAACACCTACAAATCCTTCCCATTTCAACTCAAATGCGGCTTCCCACTAAAAGCCTTCCTTGATTGCCCCCTACCTGCTAAGGGTAGGACATAACTGCACCCCCACACTGTTTTTCAGCCTCAAAGCAGTGTAATTTCCATTCACAACACATATTATAATGACTTATTTACTTTGCAATGGTTTGATTATTGGCCACCTCCTCCAACTGCCTAGAAGCTCTATGAGGGCAGGGACTGGGACTGTTCCACCTCCATAGGTATATAGTAAACATCAGTTGAACGAAGAAGCATGTCTATTAGCAGGAAACGTGGACCCAGAGATTAGAAGTCACAGGACACCAATCCAAATAAGAACACATGGCATCCCCCCTGCCAGGTGACTAGGTAGAAAGGAACTCGTGATCCCTATCTGACCACTGCAAAGGTCATGATTTCCTGCTTGTGTGAGCATCATTCTAATAGTTCAGGATTAGGACTCCTCAGCACTAGGATAAACTCCACACAGACATGCACAGCACATCCTGTAGAACCTTTTAGATGAATCCCAGTCCCTCCAATGCCTTTCTTATTATAAACCATCATTCCGCAGCAGATGTGATTCTTATATTTAAAGACACATATTGTTGTACCACAGGACCTCTAAACACAACCAACTACTGCATCTGGGGCCCAGCTAAAGAAACAGCTCTTTGTTCCAGCTTGGAGGTGAAAGTGAGGTCTTCTGGACACAGGAGAGAATGGCATGTTAGCCCTCCAACATGGTACCAGTAAGGGATTTTCAAGGATAGTTCTTACTACACCCAATGCTTATTTATGTAGCAAGTTCGGAACATAGCCTCCCTATAGTATGGAACTCTAATGTAAAGTATTTTAAGCGTAGATTTTGACACTGGGTCAAGGCCTGGTTTCAAATTCTGGTTCTTCCACTTACTGGCTATGAATAAAACTTTAGACCCATTACCTAACCTCTCTCAGGCACAGTTAACTCACCCACACTGATAGATATAACAGTACCTAGATCTTATAGTTGTAGGAAGCATTAAATATAAATACACAGCATATGGCTAAATTATTATCCTTAGGAAAGTTCTTTGTACAAAGACTACCACCTTAGAAGATAAAGTTTTGTCCATAACACAGTTCTAGGCCTAACAGAGTACCCATTCCCAGAGGGTATTCAGTGAATACCACGATCTTCCTTCGAAGGTCCTTAGTAATCCTTCTTCCTAAGTTGAACACTGACAAACCACCCAAAAGTAAACCCAGTTTTTTCGTAATTCCTCTCATGCAGACACATACACCAACATGCACACACCCTTTTTTTGAGAAAAGGACCTACCCAGCACAGGACTCAGAGATACGGCACAAGATAACAGTTGCAGATACAAAAAAACAAATGAGTTCTTTATCCAAAAGAAAACACTGGAGAAAGGGAAGCTGAAATTTTCTAAGCCAGGAGAAACTGAGACATCACTTGTGTTTCTATCAGAATACTGCTATCTATTACATATAAGAAACAGTAGTTGCTGCCACACATAAAATAACTGTTCTCCAAAAGGCATGGACTAGGCACTGAGAGAGAATGCCTAAGAACTACCCCTGCCTTCCAAAAGCCTGCAATGTAATTGGAGGCACAAAACAAAGGGAAACAGCTAAGTACGCACCAAATGAATAATAATAAAGAATAAGGCAAAAATAAGAAAGGCTGTTTTGGGGGGGGGAAAAATGCACTCCTGAGGGAGGTGCCTAAAGACTAAGTAGATACAGGTGGCAGGGCATTTTGACATACAAAAGACCAAGAACCAGCTTGGATTCATCTAGAGACACCGAGAAAGTATAGAAACACACGTTACAAAAAAGATCTAGGAAAATAGGGGTGCCTGGCTGGCCCGGTCAGTAAAGCAGGTGACTCTTGATCTTGGAGTCGTGAGCTCAAGCCCCACGTTGGGGGTAGAGTTTACTTTAAAAAAAAAAAAAAGATTAACAAAAATATACAAGCAACAGAACAAGAAGTCCAATATTTGCCCAAGGGGGCAGTTTTATATCTTCCTTGTAGAAAAAAAAAAAGGCAGCCCATCAAAAAGCCATGTCCCCAAAGTCTGCCACTGGCACAACCCCACATCACTTACCCGAATAAGGGAAGCCTGATGGCGAGGGGGTTTGGTTCCTGGGGCCCCCGATGAGGGTCCTTCAGGCTGGACAAGGGGCTGTCTAGCTTCATAAGGAGCTGAAAAAGCAGGAGGAAAAGTCAGCACAGCACAAAAAGATTCCACCCAAAAATTATGATGTCACACTCAAACTGAGACTGTCTGTTCTTCAGGGAAGAATCAGCAAAGGAATTAGAGTTTATGTACATAGGGCCACCTTGTACAAACAAACCTGGGTGCAATCGAAAGCCATTTAACTGATTCATAAAAAGACAGGAAAAGATTTGCATCATGTTGAGATTAGGAATAAGTCTGAAGGGTGTAATGGTAAGAACATAAATTGGAATAGAAAGCAATAACAATAGTCAGAGAAGTGCCATATTATAAATGCTCAAATTCTAAGTATCTGGTAAATTCTATATATACCTGCCGGTTTAAAAGTCTTGCATTCGTCACCCATCTTCCAAAGAAACAAGAAAATAAGTATGCATTTTGAACACTAAGAATCAATGTTACTATTTATTTTTCAAAAATAAATGGCACAGTCTTCTTTTCCTTATTGGAAAGGATGTAAAATCAAGTAGAGAAAAATACAAAAAGGAATGAATGTATTTTATATTTATTATTTTATCTTTCAATAACCAAACTAAAAATAATTTTGGTGACTTTAAGAAAAGTTTTTAAGCCACAAAAACAAAAGCCTTTTTTCACTTTATTTCCCAAATATTTTATAATGACTTTGCCAATATGGTAGGAAAACAGTTAAACATAACCAGGTAGTATTCAGCTCCAACAGAAAAGAGAACTCATCACCCAAGATGAAGCCATTTTTGATTAACATTTCTGGTTGACAATTGGAGTTTTTGGAAGTATATCAAGAAGTAAAATGCTCGCTTCCTCTAGCTTCCTTATAAATAAGGTCTGGTAGGGGGTGCGGGGCAGCCTGTCACAGCACCACCCAGGGCAGACTCTGATCACCTGAAAATAAAGGAGGTGTAAGAACAGTACATCAGGAACAGCAAACCACTCTTGGGCTCACATCTGCTTTTTATATTTCCTCCAAGGGACTGGAACACAACATTATAACACAGTTAAAATACATTAAAACATCAAAAATCATTACCTGGCAAAGTATTGAGTAGATTTTCAGACCCTGCTAAGAATAAATAAGAATATAAAAAAACTGCAAAAGACACAAACCCAGGAATACATAATCCAAATGTTAAAAAAGAAGTCTCAGCCGGTAGGCAGGTGTCCTTCGAAGAAGGATTTTTAAGATCACTCCATTTTGACAGAACACTGAATATAACTATTAATGCCAGAAGGTTTGAACACAGTAAACTGCACCATGGTTGGGGTACTAGCGGTCATGAGCCTCCCCTGGGCAGCTGACCCTCCGTGCCTCTGGCTCCCCTCAGAGGAAGGGAGCTTCTACTACACAGGAGGAGCACATATGCGAGGAGGCCACCTGGCCCATGGCTCCAGCCCCTCACCTACAAGAGCCTTCCCTTGGAAGAGATGGATATATCTCATCAGTAAGGCTTGAACAAAGACTCAGCCACATGGGGCATCATTTTTGGAAAGGCCTGGCCTCAACGGCAGATCTTCTCTTCCTACTCCTATGGGAAGACTAGGATGGCCGTGCCTGCCCGTGACTGGAGAGGTGAGTGTACGGAGCCCATGTGGTCACAAATCTAAAACATGTGCTTCGATCAGCTCTGTCAGTATCAGAACTGATCATCAGACCATCATCAGTCTGACTCTGGTCCCATCCTCAGGTGGATCTCAACTCAGAAAGAGTTACTTACTGCCTCTACTCTCCTTCCTCCCAAATAAAACCTGGCAAATGCAACTCAATGCAAAAGAAATAATTCTCAGATCCCCTTACAAGAGGTTTCATAAGGAACTAGAAGTTATCATCTTTCTCCAAAGGGAAGAACCCTAAAGATTTCATCACTCTGAGATTCAGTGTCAAACCAGAACGGGGATCACTAGCAAATGCACAGTAAAGACTCTACATCTGCCATCAACCCAATGAATGATATCCAGAAGGTGAATTTCAAGAACACTTAAGGGCGTCAAAAACCAAACAGGTACCAGATCCTAAAAATACAAAGAAAATACTAGGCAACAGTTGAGCACCTACAATGTGCCAGGACCCGTGTTAGGCACAGAGGTTTATACAACATTCTTCATTTGATCCACAGGGCAAACCTCTGAGGCAGACATTCTTCCACTTTACAGATAAGAAAAACCGAAACTCATTAAAGCAAAATACCCATAGTCACACAGGCTAGAAATGCAGGCCCACCAAGTCTACCTTTAGACCCAGGAGACTGACATCACAGCCCATGCTCTTCAGAGAGTACATTCCTAGAATCGATACATCAGAGTAAGATGTGTAAGAAAAAGCAGAACGGATATCTTGATACAGAGATAAGACATTAGGTATCAGAAGAAACAGGTAAGATTTGCAGTAGTTGCCTCTGGAGATCAGAAATAAGTTGAGTGGGAAGGAGAAAAGTTGTTTTCACTACAGGCATTTAAATATTTTTTAACTATATGGTTGTATTACTGTGATTTCAACAGTTTTTAAATATGGGTAGCAGTATCTGCCTCCAAGGGCTGTGCTAAGAAGAAAATAACACACATCAAGATCTCTGCACAATGCCTGGCACACAAGTCTCACCCACGGGACATGAGCTACAGCTACATCCAGCAGAGGTTAGAATAGCAGGAGCCAGGAGAGAAGTTGAAGAGGGGCTCTGAATCAGACTGGTCTGGAGACAGTCTGATTTAAAACACACTCACAAACATTCCCCACTAGCCAGGAATCATGGCAGAATCTTAGGGAAATGACCCCAGAAAAATGTATTCCTAGAAAATTATTCCACCGGCAAAACTCCTTTCTGAAAAGGCATAAATTAAGAATAATTCTAGAATGCTGAGCACCAGAGTCACTGCGATTTAACAGGTTTTAGATATGCCACTGTGTAGATCAAAAGGAAAACAGAGTACAGAAACAGGAAAGGGAATCCTGGGTTTGTCAGATGGGTTGATGACATGGTGAAGACAACAGAGAGTTAAAAAAAACAGATGGAAAAGAACATGAAGGCCTTAAGAAAAACTGAGTTCTGAAAACATGGGAAGAAAGAGAATGAAGACATGTGGGATTCTCTTACTTCCTGACCTGAGGATATAGGACAGAAAAGGAAGCAAACAGGCCAAGAAAATCCTCTGGGGGAGAATCTACAGACATTATACAAATAGGAGTGAACAAGCTGTGAAGTGAATATTATCAATTAGAAGCAAAAATCACAAGATTGAACCAAGTTGCAGATAGAAAAACTCTCCCTTCCTTTGACTTAGACAGATGGAGAAGTCTAAATGGTAGTACCTGTAAATGTTTTATTTCTGAATGACCTTGTTCACAACTACAGGGACCTAACAGACTCCTAATCAATGGCTAGAGCCAAAAAACTCAAACTCTTTGAGAAACAGGCAACTGACTGTTCACTCAGACTCCTCTCTACGGGTGTGCTGTGCAAAGAAGAACCTTCTGAAATGGTAGCTCGTCAAGTTTAAGGTTCATGATATAGGAGAAAAACCAGCAAGGGGTAACTTAGAAAACAATGTTCCAAGAATAAAAGAGTGACCACAAGGAAATGTCTTCATATCTGATATAATGTCTACAGTTAAAAAAACACTGAAGAAAAGGAAATACACTGAGAGTACCAAATGCTGGCAAGGAACACTGAACTCTCATACATCGCCAGTGGGTATATACAGCCACTCTGTAAAACTCTTTGGCAGTTTCTTACACCCCTTCCCTAAGGTACAGAAATTCTACTCCTAGGTGCCAGGGAAATGACAATATATGTCACAAAAAGATTCACAAACAAATGTTCGTTGGATCCTTACTCATGACAGCCAAACACTGGAAATAAACCAAATGTCCATCAACAGGAGAATGGATCATCAAATTGTGGTACATTCACACAATGAAACACAACTGAGTAATAAAAAAAAGCAAACTACTGAGACACACAACAATAAGGATGAACCTCAACCACAATGCCAAGGGAAAGACAGCAGACACATAAGAGGAGTTGTTCAATATGATTCCATTTATATTAAGTTCTAAAAGAGGCAAAACTAATCTAAGGTGATAAAAATCAAAACAGTCCTCACATTGGAGGCCAGGGAGTGACTGGAAAGGGGCATCTGTAGGGTGATTGAAATGTATGTTTGTTTGTTTGTTTGTTTGTTTGTTTTTTAGAGAAAGTGCACACAGAAGTCAGGGAGAGGGTCGGAGGGAGACAGAAAATCTTAAGCAGCCTCCACACTCAGCACAGGATCCAATGTGGGGCTCAGTCCCAAGACCCTGGGATCATGACCTGAGCCAAAATCAAGAGTCGGGATGCTCAACTGACTGAGCCACCCAGGCGCCCCGGAAATGTTCTATTCTTGATCAAAGTGGTGGCTACATGGATGCATCCATTTGTCAAAACTCAACTTGGGAGATTTTTAAATATGTGCATTTTATCATTTAGAAAAAATAAGTAAGAATGAAGGCATGGACAACCTTGACATAGGCTGCTAAGAGTCAAGGAAGACGGAGAGAAGCAGGTTGTTTCCTTGCCAATGGGGGGAATGGAAGCCCAATTGGAATGAGGAAAGAATGGGGCAAGAAGTAGAGACAGTGAATACAGACAATTTTTTAAAGGAATAGCCAAATAGATATAGATAGATAGATAGATAGATAGATAGATAGATAGATAGATATAGATTATAGATATAGATATAGCGAAGAACCTGGTAATAGGCTGACTCAGTAGAACAAAAAATGACTCACGTGTGAATTAAAAACCAAAAAACAGGCACCACGCTGGGCATAAAACTCCAATGTCCAAGCCCAAATAACATTAAGAATCAAAAAAAGAGCTCCGCTTCTAAAACTAGGGAAATCAGGCAGGAGAGGCTAAAAGCAAAGTGAAGAATTCTCAACCCTATTTTGTTTCAGACTCCAATGGGACATTCGAGTTTAAGGAGAGTGATTTTTTGTTACTATCCCTTAACAGCATCATCTTGCATTTGCATAGGACTTAATTTCCAATCAGACTTCATGTTTCCGCTAATCCTCACCACACCCCAATAGAATAGTGTTACCCCATTTTAAAAGAGGAGAAGAAATCACGGTTCAGAGCAGTTCAGTGTCTTGCCCAAGGTCACATAGCTAGTCACATAAACCCACACCTTCTGATTCCCATCAAAAAATTTTTTCATTATGCCACACCAGCTCCTCTCTACAATATTACAGCCTCTCTATAGCCTAGCACACATTTTTATCTGTGTCCCTCTAGAACTCACCACTATTTTCAACGCAGCAAAACCCTGCAGAAACTGGGTCATTTTCAAACACAGCCCACAAAATACAAGAGGAGGGTGATGAATAACCGATTCTAGAATATCTTTAATTGGTCCTATCTTAAAGTACGAGCCAGAGCCCCAGGAGGACAAGGCACTGCTGTGAGTGCACACAGCCTTAAGCACTGCAGGCTAGGCAGCCAACTCGGAACAACTAACGTACCTTACCGCTAATGTGGCCAGCACGGCGTTAAGTGTGAGCAAGCAGGCGACCCCACAACTGGGCACACCACATGCTCTCAGCAAAATGCTTCCCCTACCATTTCCCTTATTCTTCTCAAACGCAAGAGCGAGATATTTTCATTTATGTGATCTGTCTTTAAAGGTTGAATCAACTCTTTTGCTTTTGCAGAGTTATATTTTTAAGTAGTTTCAGAAAAGCCGTTGTTATATAAACATGTTTGGAATGTCTGCTGAAAGGAACAATTCCAAGACAATATAAACCTTCGACATGCGATGTTCCCAGGTAATGAAATCTATATACGAAGGATTAAATCATCTAAATCAATTACAAGTCGAAACTGGTTTGTTTCAGATAGGACACAAGGCACCACTAGGATACATTTCATTTTTTTTAAAAAGCCTTGCTTGAGAGTACAAAATTAAATTCAGCCATGTTTCCAAAGACAGAGGTAATTAAGTCAGGAGATTCAGCAGCTGGTGGCGTTGCTGCCTGAGAGATTAAGGAGTCTCTAGGACACTGCCTGGGACAGCTGGACAAGATCGCCTCTTACCTGGATGCATCTGCTCCGTGTTGCTCCGCAGTTTGCCGTAGGCATGGCTCAAGGGCACCCTCTGGTAATGAGGCGGGGAAGAAGGAGGGGAGGCGAGGGGTGACATCGTGGGAGACTGTGTTTCCTGCTTCAAAGGAACCAGAGCAGAGTTCAGAGGCAGTCACTTGAGAAGCCTGGTGCTTTGAACGGCAGTTACGAAGTATAATGCAACTCTACCACCGGTGAGACGGCTGATTTCACAAATGGGAGGAAATGTTTTCTCAAAAACACGGCTTGGTTAAAACGCAGTGTCTGAGGATTCAAGTCTCCCAGAGAACAAAGTCTCACCAGCACTCAGTTGCCTAAATTACTAAAACTAGCATGAAATGCTTTCCGTTATTCCACTAGTATTTTCCTTTGGAAAATGGAAGACAATGATCACATGAAATAGCATTCACACTCCCCAAATGTGATCTCTTCGTGGATAAATTCAATTTTCATGTGTTTATAATAAAGGCTCCTATTTCCTGGATTTACACTTACCAAGTCTTCCAGCAAATGTGGGTATTAAAAATACACACTTAAAACGCTTAATGCTAAATGTTGCTGGGGCTTACTGTACCAGAGTAAAATGCCAGCTTTTTCTTTTTCACACTAGGGGATAATGAAACAATTCATCATGCGCAAACCACTCCTAAACAGGAGGATGGAGGCTTAATAAGCTACAGTTCAAATCTCAGTTAAAATGTGAATTTTATGTAAGAGTCTGGCAAAGCAAACAACCTTACTCTGCTACTGGGTTTCCTCCTTTTCAATGCTACCAATAAACTGGTAACTTTGGAGTACCCAAGTAACAAGGAAACAGTACTTTTAACCAACATGCAGACTATATAGGTACTCTTAGTCTAAAAAAAAGGCAATCTGAGTTACTGATCAAATACTCTTCTTCAAGAAAAAGAAAAGAATATTTGAAGTGTGACCTCACACCAACAGATGGGATGGGCAGAGTACAAACCTACCCTCAGGTGAAAGGATGTGTCCTCAATCACGCAGCCAGGGATGGGCCTAGAAAGTCCCCAGAGTATCAACCATCTTGGGACAGCAGACCCTCATTCCTCTCCAAATGCTGGTAGGAAAACATGCCAGAGTACTGACTAAAGCTTCCTATACCCCTTTACATATATATCCCTAAAGAACTCATTTAAAATGTATCAGAATTATGACATCAACATTACACTGAGTTATTTAACAAGACATGCTATACCTCACTTGGCTATAAATATAAAACTTCTGCAGCAACACCTCATATATCCAGCATTATCATGGTGAGCCATATAGTTTTTCAACTTAATCCTTTGTTACACAATGCATTTAAAAAACGTTTTGACTCATCTTCCTAAAATATGACAAATTTCTTGGTCTTATAGAAGATACTATATTCAATGTAATTTGACTTTTCTGCATGATTCAGTATCTTTATTAGAAGTATGAGCTGTACCTTGGTGCCCCCAGGGTTCACTAATGCATAAATAAGACTATTTACCTCTTTCTTGATAGGCATACTTTTCTGAAATTTTATACTTTCATCTCTACCAACCACCACCTAACTATTGCAATTAGTGCTCTAATTTTTAAAGCCTCTCCTCCCTACTCTTGTCCCTAACCTGCTAAATGTGAAATGGCAGGATTCCCCAAGTTGGCATCCCAAACAAGCCCCACAAGGAAGGATTCTCTGGTGAAACAAGTTTAGTAAACACAAATCTCCATGTCTCTTCACAGCGGGACTTGTCAGGGCCTTGAATTTGCTAATAAGCACTTATGAGTCTCCAAGCCTCAGAATGTAGTCTTTCACCCAAGGATATGAAGCAGCACTCTCCAAATATATTTAACCACAGAAACCTTTTCTCCAAACTTTTTTTGTGAAGACAGGATCTATTAAAAAGTCCTAGGGGCGCCTGGCTGGCTCAGTCACTAGAGCATGTGACTTGATCTGAGGGTCTTGAGTTAAAGTCCCACCACGTTGGACTTAGACTTTACTTTAAAAAAAAAAAAAATCCTAGAAGTTCCATTTCAAAGAACCCATTTACAAATACTGATTAGAGAAATCAAATAAGTGTATTAAATCATACCCTTGGGGCACCCAGGTGGCTCAGTCAGTTAAGCCTCTGACTTCAGCTCAGGTCATGATCTCACAGTTCAAGAGTTCGAGCCCCGTACTGGGCTGTGCTGACAGCTCAGAGCCTGGAGCCTGCTTCGGATTCTGTGTCTCCCTCTCTCTCTGCCCTTCCCCCACTCACACTCTGACTCTCTCAAAAATAAACAAACACTTAAAAATAAAAAATAAAAATCAGTGGCCTCACTCTGGACACAATCTACATTCAAGTAAGCTCTAAAGGGCGAATGGGTGGCTATACTTCAGCTTTTTCTTGCTACAAGGAAACTTCACTGGCTTCCTTCCAAGTCTATAATTGTATCCCAGATGGTGAGATTTGCTAGAAGCCTGACAGTAGATATGAAGCACGGCTATGTGAGGTTTCACTGTCAGAATCAAATGGACACCCCTGATCAGATTGTTTACCTGTTTATCCTCATCGTCCATTCTTTTGAAGGTATTTTTTTCTGTGATTAAATATGGAATCTGAACCTTAGTTCCATGCAGTTCAGTCGGGTTCCCAAATCGGATCTCAGCATCGGTCTTTGACATCAGAAAGCGAGGCAGCGGCAGTTCTTTAGGACCAGAATCAGAGAAGCTCAAGTGAGACTTTTTTAAAACTGTGAAAAGCGGAACTCAATGGCCAAAAGATGAATCACTTTTGAGGAAAAATTCCAGAGCACTAAATATAGATTAAATTTTTATTTTGACACAGTGAAGACTCCTATAATAATGTCATGATAGAAAAATGCTTCAGTTTTACCAAGCAACTCTGGCTTAACATTTTTAAATGCTGTCAAGTCATCACGGAACATATTCAGGTTTTGGACTGATCTCCTACCTCAGCCTTTAGTCCGGCACCAGCTAAAAGGCTCTGATACTGTATGAACACGATATGTGGCAAATGAAACAGGCAAAACCCATATAACACACATTATATGCCAGATACTATATTAACATCTGCAAATATTACGTCATTCAATCCTCACAACTCAAGACTATCATTAGCCTTCCTTTTATTTTTTTTAATTTTTTAATGTTTGCTTATTTTTAAGAGAGAGTCAGAGCGTGCATGAGGACAGGGCAGAGAGAGAGGGAGACACAGAATCTGAAGCAGACTCCAGGCTCTGAGCTGTCAGCGCAAAGCCTGACACGGTGCTCGAACTCATGGACCACAAGATCATGACCTGAGCCAAAGTCAGACACTTAACTGACTGAGCCACTGAGGCGCCCTCTGGGTGACAGTTTTTCACCCTATGTAATTCCTTAAGGAATTTTCACGCTCGATCTTCAATTGTCTTTTCATAATGGAATAAGGAAAATACTTTAAGTTACAGCGATCAGTCCGTTCAGCCAGATTCTACTGTCAAAACCTTTAGCCACACTCACAATGCTACAAAGAGTTCAAACCCAACAGTCTGGAATATTTACTTATCTTTCAAATATCTGATAAAACTATTCTGAAACAGAAATGATGCTTTGGCACACTTCTAGTTCTCAGTGCGGCAAATCACACACAATCACACAACACAAAGGACTCCAAAAATGGGGATAATATTATGGATTATGCATAATGATTTGCATCTGTATCCATTGTTCAGGATAATACTCATCACTGTGCCTCCGCACTTCCATCAGCGCCCCATTCCAAACACAGCTGCACTTCCAATGACTGATGCTGTGCTAAAGCCAGAAAACATCTTAGCAACACAACCAAGTATCCCAGCTCCCCAGGCAAAGAAGGCCCCTGGTTCTCTAATATCCACATTGTGTTTATTTTTAGTTGCTATGTCCACATTTGATTCAAAGAAGTAGGCAATATGACAAATCCCTGCATGATCAATCAGCCAAAAGGCCCAAGAGACATAAATAGAATAAGCAATCTGGAAAATTAAACCAGGACTCTCCTCTAAAAAGAGGATGGCCACCATTTTTAACATTTTAACGTTTCCCAACCTCGGCAGCTCTCCAGTACTCAAGGCAGGAATGGACTTTAAAAGAAAAAAGGCAAAAGCAGAGAAAACATAGATTCTTAGTAAGTCAAATATAAGCTAATCCCATGGTTCTCTTCTCAGAAAGGGATTTCTTTCAGTTCGGTCTGCAAAAGGGATCTAAAAAGAGGGAACATGGCACAAAAACAGACACATAGACCAATGGAATAGAATA